GAAATAATTGTTCAAATCTCAAATATAATATGAGGCACACATTTTTTCGGAAAAATTCCCAGAAACATATTTAAGTGGAAAATAAAACAAGCTAACTTGATTAATTGAAGCAACAAGGCAGACAGCCTCAGTAGACCATGCAATAAAAATTCCAATTCATAATTAAATTGGTTATAATTAAAAAGGTGGAATAGCAAGAACCTCAACTAATGCCAGAGTATTAAGATTAGGAGACAGTGTGGGTTTAACTCCTTTAGCAGCAAGAACTTCCTCTGGACTCCTAATTTAAATAAAATTATTTGACGTTAACTCGGAGGTAAAAATGTCATAAACCCCAGTCTCTTACTAACAACCACATAGGAACCAACCTTGCCAAGATAGGTCTAGGAGTAAATCTATCTTCTGGGTCGCTGGGAAAAGAGAAACAACAGAGACAGTGTGTAAGGACAAAATCACAGATTACCAAATGATGATTCAATGAGGCAATTAAAAAAAAAGGACAGTTAAACAGACACTACCTCTGAACACATACAACAGCTTCAACCATGCCAGTTCTAAGCATCTCAATTGCAATTGTGGTCACTATACCAGTCCACTGAGCGCCTGACAAAGTGTAGTTATGCAGGGCATATACATCGTGATTCATGAAAGGTGCATAAATAACTATTTAAAGCACTTATTATATATGTTTAAGTTTAAGTGTAATTACAAGAAAACCCTACAATTACAACCAAAAGGGAACATGTCAGGTCAACAATTCCATTAAAAGAAAAGAAACTGGCCAATTTATTTTTTTTTTTCAGCAGAAAATTTTCTGCATTCTGAAAATAACTAAACCATTTAAGAAAGAATAGCTGAAATAAAATAATACAAATAAAATCAAAGGCATCACAGGTTAATGGTTATGACCATAAAACCCACACAAACTGAAATCGAACATACTGAATCCACTACTCCATGTGTAGACTACAGGTTCTAAGGACAGTTCAAAAGACAAGGCTTTCCATGCTCGAATTAAAACAGGTTTGTTTNTTTAACGAATTTTGTTCGCCATTTAAACGAAGGTTTAAATATACCTTGGGGATGAAGCAGAATATTTTATTTGATTAGCATAAGAATAGATGTCACCGCTTGACTCCATGATTTCTAATTTAGTAACTACATTAGGTTGGTCATTTATTAGTTTAATTTTTGTGATAATTCACTTTGGTAAATTTTACTATACTCCTCGCTAAATACCATTTTGATATATCATTAGACTTGCATATGCAATTTGCAACCTTAGTTATATATAAAGAGAGAGAGATCAATACAGAAGGCCAAGCTGTTATGCACGATAAAATGATCGCGGCCTAAAATATTTATTGATGCAAACCTTTTTAACTTTAAGTTCTGCTAGTTGGTATACTATGTACAATGTTACAGCTAATAATTCCAGAAAAGGAGGGCATATAAAGAAAGAAGGAAGCATTAGTTCATGAATTGAGATGGTATAAAAATGTTCTAAACAGTTCAGATTTAGTTTTTCTATTCATACAATGAAAGTCCAGGAAAAGCTAATAAGCAAGACTGGTTTTTACTTTTGCCGATTTATGTCTTCCCAAGAGTAGCTTAGCAACACACTCGCCAATTACTGGTTCTTCCCAAAAAGCTGCACGTTTAAGCAATAAATATTATCTTTTTATTTCAAACTAATTACATTTACACAAATTTTAGACTCGTTTACCGTGAATGTTTCCCCTAGCTATATACATAAGGAAAGGTGAGTAGTTCATGAGTAACATGAATTGGTTGGAAAGGGGAGAAAGATTTACAAGACATTAATCAATTCCCCAGTTCCCATTTACCAACTACAGTTTCCTTCTTCAAGTTTCCTTCTTCATGGAGAAAATGTAAAAATCAAATGTAAGCAACCGATTCATTGAGAACCAGATAATTAACTGATGTAGAATATTTTAATCTGTTTAAAGGCACATATAAAGCGTATAAATTGTATAGAGGTGTTCTGCTTAAGAATAAGGTATAAGAAGAACAAAAGTCCAGAAGCAACAAACCCACGTGGAAGCCTCACCTGCTACAGGATTGATTTTACGAGCATAAAGTAGGTCCTCATGAACTCCCATGTACGTCTCTTGCAATGAATCTATTTTTCTTCCTCGACCGTGAACCATTGGTTCAAGAGCCTAGGTGGCAACTCGAAACACATTTAGTCAATACACTTTACAATTTTAGCAAACAGTATCCAAATTGCCATGCACATAGTTACAGCTATAAAAAAAATTAAAATTTTTATTAGGTAAAGCAATAATCGAATGTGTGTGCTCAAATCTAACAACCTCATCATAGCCCGCGCTAGTCACATTTAAGACAGGGATAAATTAAATAAACAAGAAGCCGAAGGTAAAATCCCTATCATGGTACAAGAAATGCTTTTCACTTCTTTGGCCTGTAACAGTAGTTGGTTAATAAAATGCAAACTGCTGAACAAAGAGAATAAAATACTAGCTCTAGCTATACCACTTGTGATTTGCCAATATTCTTC